ACACACACACACACACACACACAGAGCTCTGTGCTATGCTAATATCAGGCTAAACCCAGGCTAATGACGGGGCCTGTATGGGTGTCCAGAGAGCACAGCTAAACAAAAACACTGTTATCTCCCCTGATGGACATCCAGGATCATCACACACACACACACACACACACACACACACACACACACACACACACACACAGTAATTGACTGTTCTGGCTTTAATCAGCTCTTATTGGAGCTCGTGTTTCTGCTGGCTAACAACACCATATGCTGATTGGCTCTGTCAGTCCCTACGTACCTGTCAGTCACACTTTAGTGGCCAACCCCAGGGGGTAGGACACCCCCCCTCCACCCACCATATTGCCTTTTAGAGTACCCATGATGCCTTGCAGCAGTAACAGAGCTGCTGTGATGTGAACGGCTGCTGAATGTTAAAACACACCGAGACAGCAGAAAGTAAAGGTGTAAAATGAAACATGATACCGCCTCTGTGAGCGTGTGAAGCAGGCGTGACGTTTAAATGCAGCCAGACAGAAAAAAGACTCACTTCCTTCCATCTCTACACACGATCAACTCCACCTTATTTCAAAAGAACAAAGGAGAAATGCTGCACCCTCAATTATGAAGCGTGTGGAGAGAAACGTTCAGCCTCACGTTATGATTTTTATTCCAATAATGACTTTGTTTCATCAGCAATAACCAAAATGCTGAGAAAAATACATGACAGAAAATATCAATGTATCAATAATAACAGCACTCCTGTTTTATCACACCTGTACCTCGGGTTAGCTGTCGATCTCTGGACTGTCTCTGATATCAAACAGGGGCAGGATTGTGTTTGTGGACACCTCAGATGGTGAATCCAGTAACTGAGAACGAGGTGATGTAGGAGCTTCACGCCGCAGGTGCATCTGCTGAAACTCTGTGACGAGTTTGACTCTGAGCTAAATCGGAGTCCGAGTGAGTTTTCTGGAGAACGAGACGATTTTGAACCTGATGGGTGTGTCCACCAGGAGCCTGAGGTTACAGTTTTTTTTGTTTTTGTCTTTGATGATTGGTTGTCGTGCACATGAATCCCGTCTACACTCTTCGTTCTGTCCTTCATCATCACTGACTTTATTGTTGATGAGTCATAAAAGCCGTTCTTTGGCCTGCATTGGGAGCTGTTCCCAGTCAAATATAAACCAGCATCATGGGCCAGTAAATGGGTTTCTTCAGTTTTTTGGACCTGATTAGTGTCCAGTATAAAACCATTTATGGCCCAGCAGAGACCCTTCACTAAGTCAGACAACATTATTGATCTGTGCTCACTGACTGATCGCCATGGTAACACCGTGAGTATATGCATATACACTGATTGATCCTTTTTTCAATAAACACATTTTTTCCAACTGACCTCTGTGAGTGCGATGAACACATGGTTAGAAGATTCCTGTTCTTTCTCTGCTTCTGCTGCTTGATTGATTGATTACTAACATCTGATCACTGATTGGCTGATTAACGAGCTTCTCTTCCAGGTGTGTTTAGGTGAACAGCGCTCTGCTCTCCTCTGTTTGGCTCACAGTTCAGTTTACATCAGTTTGGACTGAAGAAGAAGACTAACAGGGGTTTGCTGCAGTAAATCAATACTGATCTATAATCAATAGGCAGCTAATCAGTCAGACCTCAGCAGGAGAAAGGTCGTGTGTTCAGGTACGCCCAGTTTACCTGTACAGGAAGGAAAGAGATGATGTCATTCTGGGAAGGTCGGAGTGTCTCCATAGCAACCAAATGTCGTCTCTTAGTAACCCCGATCAACAGTTAGAGTTAACATTAACCTTTTATTAAAGCCTCTTAGAACAAACAAGATTTTATATTCCCATAGTCAGGTGAAGTGTTTTGGATGGCTGTGGCTTACAGAAGAGGAAGACTGCTGACCTCACAGCTGTCCAGATGATGATGATCAGCATCCTGCAAGAGGGTGAATGCACAGAAGGTCACCGCTGAAAAGGTCGACTGTTCTCACAGGGGTGGGAGTGGAAAGTTCACTGGGAGGGAACAGTGGAGGAAACGGTGCACAGACAGCAGAGGGCTGTGAAGAAAAGTCCACTTGAGAACTTTCAACAAGCATCAGCAGCTTCCAGGTGAAGAGGAAGGAGCTCCAGCCCTGGTACCAGAGACCATGGCAGGAACCTCTCACTGGGCTGATTAGCAGGAGAACTGCTTTGAACTCCAGGAGTCTGGAGGAGGGCAGAGACTCAGGTTCAGGTCAGAGTCCGCCAGGTGTCTCAACACTTCATGCTTCTGTCAGCTGAGAGCTTTTTTTTGCTCACCAAAACCAGGTTGTTACTGTTTCACCCAAATCTCAGAGAAACCTCTGATCCAAAGATCCCGGTGAGCTAAAGGCCTCCGTCAGAGCAGCGTGAGCTTCAGCAACTTCAACTTTAAAGGCAGCACTCACAGATGGGACACCAACCAAAGCAGTGAAAGTCATGTGAATGTGATGGACAGAGCCGTGTCCTCGCGGCTTCAGGCAGGACGTGGAGCTGCTCGGCTCGAGCTCAGCTGCAAGCAGAGAGACGCCGATCAGCAGTTTAAAGCTGCCACCAAGAACTCTTCACACGATCAGAGCATTCAAGTAACTTTAAACCCAAATGAGTGCAGGGGGTTTCCTGCTTTATTGATAACAATGATAATAATGAGAGACAGCAGGTGGAAGCACTGGGTCAAAATAAGGAGACGACTCTGAGTCACAAACGCTGAGCGCTGTGTTAGCATTGTGTTAGCGCTGTGTTAGCATTATGTTAGCGCTGTGTAAGCATTGTGTTAGCGCTGTGTTAGCATTGTGTTAGCGCTGTGTTAGCATTGTGTTAGCGCTGTGACAGGAGAGCAGGGCGCTGTGTGTTACTAATGTTTCTGCTGCAGTACAGACCTGCCCTCTCTCTCTCTCTCTGTCTGTCTGCATGCCTTCCTGGATGAATAGCCGCTATAATCGTCACCCAGCTCACCACGCCCTACATTCGCATCGCCCCGGCAGCAGGCGACAAGCAGCTAACAGGTCAGCACACACACGCTGCACACACACAGACTCACACTGACTGGAATCTCTGGCTTTAATGGCTTTATTGGATGAATAATTTCCAATAAGAGAGGCGCTCATGTCTGTGGAGCTCAAACATGACTGAACAGGAAATGATGTTGTGGTCTTTCTGACTGTTTGGCCTGTGACGCCTCACACTCAGCCGGAATCAAAGTAAAATAAATGACCCCGAAATACATCTGAACAAAGATGGAGGCGACTCTGTCATCGTTTGATTTGCAGTTATTCCCATCTTTAAAAATCTCAGATCAGCCCAAAAACTTTAGAATTGTGTTTCATAGTCAGTCCAGCAGAGGGCACCGAGCTAACAATGCGACAGTTGATGACCGAACCCTGCTTGGATTTACTGCCGCCACCCAGCTGCAGGTCAGTCAGCTCAGGTCTCAGCTGAAGGTAACAGCACTTCCTATTCTCGTGTTAAGCATTCATGGAACCGCAGGGTCCTGCTAATCTGTAACCGGAAGGTTGCCGGTTCGATCCCCCTGCTCTTTCTGTCCTGGTCATTGTGTCCTTGGGCAAGACACTTCACCTATATGTGGAAAGCTATATGTGGAAGGAAACTGTGACTAAGGACAAGCTGATGGCATAAGATGTAAGTACAACTCCTCCGGTTTCATATGCAACAAAATTATTGCGCTAGCTTACGTGGTTGCAGTGCTACCGGGATTTAAAAATAGTTATGCAAAACGGAGCGTGCCCGCTCCAACCGGCTTTAAAGGGTTAAACTCCACCGAGGCAGCGGTGACGCAAATCTGAAGTCTAGACCGTCCCATTTCACAGCCGTTTACTTCCAGCCCATCCGGCCCACCTAGACCGTGAAGGCCAGGTCCTCCAAAGCCTGTGGTCTATGAATTGGGACACAGCTTGTGTGTGTGTGAGGCCGAGGGTCTGTTGAGAGTCCCAGAGTCACACACAGAAGGATTATTCTCACTGTGAGTCATGCTAAGCTGCACTGCTCGAGTCCAAGAATATCAACACAACACAGAAACAAGGAAGAGTTTATATCATCTGGAGATAAACCTCAGAGAGGGCAAAGCCATGATTGTGTGTCTGTGAGTCTGTGTGAGTGTGTGTGCGTGTGTGTGTGTGTGCGTGTGTGGACTGAACAGGTACATACGCACACGCACACACACACACACACACACACACAGATTCACAACTCACAGAAAATTACATTTAAATATTTACCAGCCTGAAGGTGGAAACTTTCAACACACACACACACAGTTGGTGTGTGTGTGTGTGTGTGTGTGTGCGTGTGTGTGTGTGTGTGTGTGTGCGCTACCAGCAGTCCTCAAATACTAACAGCTGTTCGCCTTGTATCCACACACTGAAGCACACACACACACCTCCCACGCAGCGTGACTGGCTGAAGCCCTGAAGCAGAAAACAGCTTCACTTTCACATAAAAACAGCTTCTCCATGGCCTGCTGTGACACACATGCAACAACACATACATACAAACTACACACACGCCACACACAAGGAGACACACACACAGATAAATTCTGTCTTCAAAGCAGTGTTTTGATAGCCTTTAAACTGAAAACAGCAGCTCTCTGCCTCCAAGGGGGGATACTGTCTGTGTGTGTGTCTGTGTGTGTGTGTGTGTTTGTGTGATGAAACAGGAGGGAGCTGATAGCCGAGTTCGTCTGACCTTGAAGAGACGAAATGAAAACAGAAAATAAAAGAAACCAGTTCACTAAACTGCAGCTGAACTGGTTTCATAGATCAGACATGAAGATTATTAAATATTAGGTCTCTCTCCTCCAGGTCTCTGTTAGTACATGACTTAATAGAGATCAACAAATCGATTTACTCTGCCTTACAGAAACCTGGTTGCAGCAGGATGATTATGTTAGTTTAAATGAATCAACACCCCCGAGTCATTCTAACTACCAGAAACCTCGAAGCACAGGCCGAGGGGGAGGTGTGGCAGCAATTTTTCACACCAGCCTATTAATCAACCAAAGACCCAGACAGACTTTTAATTCATTTGAAAGCCTGATGCTTAGCCTCGTCCACCCCAGCTGTAAAACTCAGAAACCAGTCTTACTTGTTATCATCTATCGTCCATCTATCTACATAACTGTCTAGATATTTATGTTACTACATACATTCCCTGTGTAGGTACCTCTTAGAGTTTACGTTTATTTTTTTCTTCTCTTATCCTAAAGGAATTTTAATGTAAAAATCTACATGCTGCTAACAGAGAGATGTCAAACTGTGTTTCATTGTTCTGGTAACAGTGACAACAAAGATCTATTCTATTCTACTCTTTCTTTAAAAAAAAAAAAAAAAAAGATTTATTGATTTTTTATTTTGGAATACGAACAGCAACAAATCAGCACAGCCAAATACAAATGAGAAGAAGAGAAGAAGAAAAAAACAAATACAGATACATGAGCAGTGTTGGGTAAGTTACTTTAAATTTGTAACTTAGTTACATTACTAGTTACTGCTATCAAAAGTAACTCAGTTACTTTAAGTTACTCGTTACTTTCAAAGTAATTAGTTACTAGGGAAAGTAACTTTGGTTTTACCCAGAATTCTCTTATTAATGTGTTGCTTCCCTAACTGGATCCCCAGCAAGGATGCCAGTCTTCTAGCTTGCTTACATGTTAGCAGTATCCTGTCAAAAGTGCACTGTGCCACCTAATGACCTGAACCTAAAATGGTTAAAATGGCAGTGTGAGTGCAAGTTAATGATGAAATAAATGAAACTATATTAGAAACTAACAATGTTTGTTTTATGTGACACTTTTTTATCAGTCTGTTTTTCTATTGTTTCAACCCTCTACAAATGCAAACACATCATTTTGGGGTTGATCCAGCAGTGCTATAAATCTAGTCATTGTACGTAGTATCACTAGGAAGAAGCAGTGGATCACAAAACACGATATACAGTGTGTTGAAACTTTTGAAAGATGTATTTATTTTTGTCATTTAAATGGGGAGAAAGTATGCTTTTAGCAGTGCCAACATTAAACTGTGCCTCAGACCATTTAGGAGCTGTAGGTATCAAAGTGCAAAACATATAGTGCAAAAATGGTTTAACATAAACACAGTGAGGTTTGTCCATTCTTTGTAAACTCAACTGCTGAACTGTGCCAACTGGAGACCTCATGTTCAGTAATAAAAGTATTTTCAGGAAAGGGAAGAGAAAGCAAATAAATAATAAGTATCTTCAGCCTCATAAACAGTCAAACCAAAATAATATTTCCTCCATACTGGCCATGTCGATAAATAAAATATAATTGCATTTTAAGTGCTTCAGTGGTCTAAGTTTCACTTGGAAATATTAACATGCTTGACCTTGTAGAGCACCACTGAAGGCAACACATCATCATCATATCAGCACTACTCAACTTCCATCAAACCAACACTTGTACCTCAAGAGGAGAAGCTCCTCAAACTTATGATCGGACAACCTGTTCCTCTTTGGAGTGAGAATCAGGTTTCCCAGCCTGAAAAGCCTTTAAACTGGGGCACTTGAAGGAGTGGCTGCATTAAGTTTAAGAAAGAGTTTCTTTATCATTGGGAAATGCTTCAGAGAGTCTAACTTTGTTGCTCCTGATTTACTCAGGATATTTACTCGGCTACCTCAGCTTCAGCAGTGGCATATATGTCCTCATTTTCTTCAAAGGAGAAGATCCTCTTTGCTAGAACCCGGGTGCTGTGTTGTCTTGGTGGTGCCGGTACCTGGTTGTAGCTGATCTTGCTCAGGGAGAAGTTTTCGACACTCTACCAACAAACGTCCCTTTGCGAGGTCCTTCCGCGCCTGGTCATGTAACCAACGAAACTTAAATTTTGGTAGTGTCACAGCAGCCAGCAAAGCATCTTCACTTCCAAGGACATGTGCAAACCTTGTTTTGCAATGCATTGTTTCAACATTAAATTAACTAGAAAAATTTGCATTTCCTGCAAAAATGCTGTGTGGATGCTTTAAAGCTGAAGCTGTCTTTTAAAAATAGCTGAAAAAGCTGAAAGGTTGCAGAAATTGTAAAAACTTTGCAGAAGCAAAGGAACTTTGCTAAAATGTAATAACTTAGCAGAACTGCAATAAACATAATACTTGGCAAACATGATAACTTCTCAAAAATACAAGAATTTAGGAGAAATAGTATAAGATCACAGAAAGAATATATTTAACCAAAAATACTCAAACATTACAGAAACACTATGATTTAGAAAAATAATACAACATAGCAGAAATACTGTGATTTTCCAGAGACACTGTGATGAACTATGAATATTGTAATTAAAATTAATACTATGTTTCAGCACAAATACTCTGGTTTAGCACAAATATTATAACATAGCAGAAATACAATTATATAGCAGAAATGCTATATTTAGAAAGAAAAATATAATATAGTATAAATACTATGATTTAGCAGAAATACTACAATAGAGCATAATAACAATGATTTAGAACAAATACTATGATTGAGCAGAATAGTAATAACTTAAGTGAAAATACTAGAAAAGTAAAATGACAAGCTGAAAAAAAACAGAACATGGTTCACAAGCTCCTTCAAAACGAATTGTTGTTCACCTGTGAAAAAAATAAATAAATAAAAGTAAATTTGGGGAAAAAAACAATAGATAAACACAAAATCAAATATGGCTACAGAAATGTACAGAGAGAGACACACACACAGGGTCTATGCCAGTCAACCATTCTGAATATATTATATTTTTATCCAACAATGAGATGCTGCCCTAAAGAGGGTCTCTCCCTCTCCCTCTCTCTCTCTCCCTCTCCCTCTCTCTCTCTCTCTCTCTCACACACACACACACACACACACACACAGCAGCAGCAGCAAGTGAACAGGGGCTGTTAACAGCATGTTTCTAAGTCAGTCAAACAGCTGTGAGCTGCTCAATTTGAATCCACCAATCAGAGAGGTTGTGTACTTTTTTCCCGTGCACCATGTGCAGGGTTTTACGCACAG